CTTTCCTCAGGGGAGCTTCCCTAATAATGCCAAGAGCTTACCTCAACCACAGCCCCTTCCATGGTAATTAAGATAATGTGTTTACTTCTCTACCTCCTCCACTAGACTGTGAGCTTCTTCAGGGAAGCCACCTCTTCCTTCCTTGTGTTTGGAGACTTAAAGCTTAGCAAAGGGTATATCCTGTAACTGGTAGGCACTTAAATCTGTGTTGAATGAGTGAGTGTTAATGTTCTCATAAAGTTGGTAGTGTTTAGTCTGATCAATGTCATATATTCTTGCTTATCCTTTATCATTTAAAAGAAAAAAGGAAACAACTCAATATTATTTCAAAAGTTGGTCATCTCAAATACAATCAAGGCAGTCACTCAAGGACATGTTTCGAATAATAGATGCAATCCTTTTTGAGAAGTCTGTACACTGTTAAGCATTATTCTCATAGGTACTGCTTACATAATTCAACTCAAAGTGGAAAATTTATTTTCTTTATTATTATAGGTTTAATGTAGACTAAATTATTTACTCTCCCAAAAGTTATACCGATTATGTTACTATTAATATCCAAAACCAAAAAAGAAGAAAAGTAATTCACAACATTATTATCTTCTATTTCCAAAAAGTAATCAAGGCAGGGAACTGAAAAATGTTTTCTTGTTTTAATGGTCGCATTATATAAAGAAGAATGTATAAGGATAATTATACTTGAAGGTCAAGAATATTTAGAGGAAAAAAAACCCTACATGGTAAATTAAGGCTATGTTGTAAAAATGCATTCCACACTCATTTCCTTTAAACTGTAACAAGTTTAACTCAAAGCCTGACTTAAGGTTCAAACTTTAATATCTGTTTTTCAAAATCAAGTTACGTTTACTGATACCATTTATCAATCCTCCAAATATTTACTACCATTTAAATCAAAGGATAATAAAAGTTTTTTTAAAAACCCATTAATTTTTAATTACATTTGAAAACTTCTTTAGAGAATCTCCCGAAAAAAAATGTTTAGAGCAAAGATATCACTGTGCCAAAAAAGACTCACCGAGGGAAGCTCCCTGGGATTGCACTTCTGAATGCTCCCTACATTAAGGTAAGGACCTAGATCTGAAGAAACTTTAACCCAACTACTATAACAAATCTTGCACTGCTTTTTAAAAAATCAGCACAATAACTAAAGCTAAGAACAAATGCAGAAAGGCATAAATGAACAAAGCCAAACAAAACAAAACAAAACATAAAGACAGCATTTGGGGCTCAAACAGCTGCTACCTCATGTTACAAGGAGACTGGATGGGGATGAAGGCTTAGATAAGTTTAGTGACTGAATATGGCAGACATATGAAATGACTTACTTTAAGAGAAGCCACGATATCTTATAGAAATTTCCCAAACTTTACAAAATTATTTTTTATGATTAGAAATATAAAACTTTCAACTGAAGTAGTCAAAATATAATTCATCCTGCATTTCTACTGACTCATCTGCTTTCCCAGTATTCCTGATAATATGCTTAAAATATTTTCCTTCTATTAATACACACAAAACTTGGTTCAAAACAAATACTATAATGACAGAAACAGTACAGTGAAAATATAGTTACCACTCTTGGGTGACAGGCAGAGAGTCCATGATAATACATTAAGTGTAAGTGTTCAGAACATCTATGTATTTCAGCAGCTTCAATTACTCAGAAGTATTTGAAAAACTTATCTATACTACAAACTACAGCAGCTGATGTCTATAATTGGAGATATAAACAAGACTAGAATGTCACTCATTTGTTGTGGACCCTTCTGAAGAAGACAACCACAAAAACCAGTTATACTAGGTGTTGAACTAGTTACATGGGGCTTTGAAACTAATCAAGACATATATATTGCTAGAATTAGGTTTGCTTATTATGAGCTTTAGTTAATAAGAGATACTGGAATAACTGATTAAGTTATTTATCTCGTGTCACAAAATTTGAAATTAAAATAGACTCATCTGATGCTATAAATAATGAGAAGAGTTTCAAGACCAAATAAGACATTTGTTTTACAGTTCAAAAAAAAAATTTTTTTTTTCTAAAGATGACTGGTAAGGGGATCTTAACCCTTGACTTGGTGTTGTCAGCACCACGCTCTCCCAAGTGAGCTAACCGGCCATCCCTATATAGGGATCTGAACCCTTGGCCTTGATGTTACCAACACCACACTCTCACAAGTGAGCCATGGGCCGGCCCTTACAGTTCAAATTTTTAAGCATAAACTTTACTCTGAAATCTGAATTTGGGTTTTAAAATGTGTTTTTCTTGAACAGTTATAACTTCCTAGAGTAAGCTGACAAAGTTCTCCTGGAAACGTTAAATACTTGCTCATGTCTCCTCTCTCATATCACATTTACTTAAAAAGTAGAATAGTACTTAAAAAAAGCAACTTCTTTTTTTAAATACTATGATTTTAGTAACCACTTTACTGTTTTGCTAAACCTATTTTGGCTTCGCTGAAAACTATATGTGTATTTCAGTCTGGGTATTCTTTTGTATCTAAGCCAATATGCCAAATAAACAATCTGGCCAATGAGCTCAGAACTATTTCTGAACAGTTCAGTTAATTTTTAAAAGAATGAATACAATCTCCAGAAGTAACCAAGCACCTACTTTGTTCTGTTCTACTGTAAAGTCACTTTAGGTTGATTTAGAGAACTAGGACAATGACTCCCTCGTGGACTAGAATACATAGTACTTTCATTCTGCGTAGGGAAGTATAATTATACATCTACGTAATATATATGATATATAGAATTATATATGTCATTATTATGATATATACATACATAATAATATATATGATAATAATATGGGATACATGAGCTATATCAGACCTAGATGATATTAAAGCATATCATTATGATCTTAATACTTTTCTAAGATATAAAGAGGGATCTTTTCTGATTCCGTATTATGCTTGCCACATGGAATCACTAACTGTGACATGTGTTGGGAGTTTTCAAACTGTGTTCTGCAGAGCCTAAGGGGAAGGAGCAGGCAGGGGAGAAAAGGAGGTAGGACTCAGAGCTTTGTGCTTTTACCCAAACCTTACAGCCTCCACATTTATGTGGGACCTTAGGATATAAAACTGTTAAGTTTGGGATTAAAAAGCAGGCATCTGCAGCTAACGTGCACTAATGATAGGAAAATAAGGAAAGCACCATTTTAACATGAAAATCGATATTTCAATATTTCAAAGTGTTCATAGCAATCTGTGAGTCAATTATAAATCTATACATGTGCAAACATACTTTTACACGTTGTATGCAAAGAAGAAAATAAGTAATAATGACTAAACTAGATTTAGAGACAAACGAGGACAAAGAAAAACAAAAGAGAACATCATCCTGTAAAACGCCTGGGATGCTCACTGCTACCTGGGCAGTATGTGTGGCCCTAGGTTTTACACATCTTCACAGCTGTCAAAGGTGGGTTAGCCTGCAACCTATCATGTGGTCTGGTGTACAATGACAAATTGGACCAATCAAACAATCTCTAAGGAATCTGAAGTGAGTGAATGATGAATGAGGCAATTAGAAGTCAACGCAGAAGCTCCAAGGGAACACGAAAAGGAGCCAAGATGCAGAATCAAGACCACAGAGGGGTGGTGCAGGCCAAAGCTCTGGGAAAGCAGAACCCATTTAAGGGAGAGAATACAGAGTAGAAAAAAAAATCAAAAAAAGAAGGAAAGAGTGTGAGAGAGAACAAGGCAGATGCAAAGACTTCCCATGAGCCAGAAATGCGCAGAAAGAGTAGGACATATTGAAGGTCCCCTAGGATTGCCTCGGTTCCTAGTAACGTTCCTGTTTCAGCATAGGTGTATCCTTACTTACTTGAAAATAAAATCCTTTTCCTAAAGATTGTCTAAAGACACTCTGAGTGTCTCAGTGTCTATTCCCCACAACCGGAACTTAAACAGAACTAAAACAGAACTAATATTAATGATCTAATGAGATCCCAAGTTAATGAGAAATTTACATAAATATTACATGTTCTTAAAAAGCTACTTACAGCACATGAAACATTTCAAATGCACTGAAATCCTCTGCAGTAAGCCAGAAACTGTATCACTTACGTTTATGTTAACTTAGTTGGTCGTCAACATTAAGTCACACTAACAGCATACTGCACACAGCAAGTTGTCTGTGTTTTAACTACTTAAACCCAAATCTTAAAAACTTAGGTATCACCCAATTTGGCTGAACAGTTTCTTTTATACAGAGTTCTTAACAAATCATATCATAGAACTTAATGTTACTTGTGAAGGTCAGTATAAAAGAAGAGACTAGCAGCATTTATTTATACTCCAGCAAAGGCAGAGTAATTTTTAAGAAGTTGTTATACAGACAGAACAGAAAGATTATACAGACAACTTCACTGTTCTTAAATAACTACGTCAAGTACATTAGTAATCTTAAATCTGATTTGATATGATACACTCTAGAGAAGAGGTTACAAATTAACAACTGAAGGCTATATCGAGCTTATAGAAGTGTCTGATTTGGTTGTAATGTTTTTAAAAAAAAACAATCACATCAGCTGATGGAACTTTAAAAATCAAGAGGTTATGCATATCTGAAATTTCTGGCTTCTCTTGACATAATAGAAGATTTGCCTGCATGAGCTCATATTTTCATAAGTCAACAAAGTACTGTAGCTGAGTAGAAGTTAGTTACTCAATTTAGATGAGGCAAGGGTGTTCCAGTTTCTCCTAATTTTCTCTCGTTTCCTGCCAATCCCTGTGGGTATTTTAGTTTGTAACCTCTACTCTAGAGATAAATCTCATCTGGGCATCAATATATAATAATTATTAATCTATAAATAGCAGTACTGCTTTACTTAAAAAGGTTGATGACTAAGGTAATGTGAAATATTTCAGAATTTCTAGTCCCAATTCTGTTTTGGATTTAATGACAGTTAAATACAGATCTAACTTGGCACCCCCAATCCTTGTACTTCGCCATGCTCTCCTTACCTTTTCTGTCTGGCTTGAGGTTCCTATCCACAGGGGGTGGTTCACAGTCTGCAACAGGAACAGGCCTTCTGGGAGGGGTCTTTGGGCTGGACCTGAAGCCCATATGAGCAGGAGGAGGAACTTGCATTCCAAATGAAGAGAAATCAAATGTCCCTGGAGTCATTGGCACATAATTTGCTTCCTGAATTGGTTCTGTAAAACTGCTGGAATGTTGTCGTGGTGGCGAGTTTGGATTCATCGGGACGTAATTTTCATCCAGTTCTTCACTTGATACACTTCCCACTGTCAACACATTTTTGATTTTCTAAAATACACATACATTTTTTTTAATAAACAAAAAACTACTGTAAAGTGTGAAAGCACAATTTTAAGTCACACCAACTCATACAGATCTAAAGGTACTCTTATTTCACGATCTCATTTAGTCTCAGGGCACTAAGTATGAAGATTTTGACAATGAAATACACTTGAAGATGCCAAGCTCAATTATACTTACAAAGTGGTTATGGAAGCCTTCAAGCGAACTAGATCTATCACTTGGAAATGTTCGTGGAATATCATAGCAGTCTTGAGAACTAGCATCTAAAATAAAAAACAAACTATCAACATTTCTTCCCATCTTTGCCAGCTCTCAGAGTAATCAGGAATGACCTATTCTTTCTCTCTTTACACACATGCACACATGCATCCATGCACACACATCAATTTTAAAAAGAATGCTCACAGAATAATATATTGAATTGGCACATTAAACCACTAGAAAAATATAGACATTCACCTATTTGCTAACCAATACCAATATCTGATCATGAGAGTAAGTGAATGTCTAAACCTGGGATAAGATGTTTTCTCAACTTTTGCATAATCATGGTCTTAACTCATATCTCTTTGATGTTTTTTTTTTTTTTTTTTTTTTTTTTTGTGGCTGGCCAGTAAGGGGATCTAAACCCTTAACCTTAGTGTTATAGAACCACGCTCTAACCAACTGACCAGCCCCTTAACTTATATCTCATTATATCATATCCAAGTTATACACTTCAAGAAGGGAGTTGGAAATTGGTACTGACTAGTTTAGTAAGTACTGATACAAATACTATTCATGATACATTAAGTCTTTATTTTCTTTAATATAGTTAGAAAACTTTCTCCCAAAATACAGAAATATTAGCACATAGTTTATAGGGTATGTGCATTAAAAACTTTGGCTTTCTATTTTTAGGACTTTAAGAATCTCAGAGAATAACTCAGACCCATTTTTTCCCTCCGTATCTATAACCTTTGGTGCAGGCTCTAGGGAATGGTATAGGAAAAGTATACTCACTAGCAATAAGTGAAGTGGCTAGTGATAAGGGGAGAGAAGATTCAGCACTTTAAAAATAAATAAAAATCAAAGAAACAAAAAGCATAATAGCTTGACTGAAACAACTCGTTAGACACAACGTAAACATTACTTATATAGGAAGGAAGGAAACAGAGCCCAACAGATGTGACATAGACATGGTCATAAGGCACACAAATACAGGAAAGGGTATGACTCGGACAGGCTCTGTGGCTGGCCCATTTCCGGCTCTTCTGCCCAAACAGAGGGCCTGCCCACCCAGGATATATGGAAAATGAGAGAGAGAGGTGCACACTCCCAGAGGCAGGAAGTCATTACTAAGGGCATACTTCTTCGGGGATGAAAAACTCCAACTCTTTCTCCCTTGCAGCAGAGCATGCATGCACACATGCATGCACACACACACACACACACCCTTCCAGGGAGCTACTGAGACTCTGATATCTTGGCTACACGAGTGGATTACTGCACAGTTGAAGAAAAAAAGGAGTTTCATTTAACATCATACTATGCTGAAAAGAACAAATAATCAGAAAAACAGATGTATCATTAACCTCTAAGAGGGTAGAAGCCAACCAGAGCTGACCTTTTCGCAATTTGTTCAAATCCACAGTGGAAACGGTATTACTACGTGATGGCGGCATCCCTGCTGTAGGGATACAGTAACTACTGTCAGTGTCTGAGGCCGTGCGTGGGATACTACACGTTTCCACAGGAGATCGGTCATGGGCTGAATGTGGTTTCGGTGGCCGAGGTGGAGGAATATCTGGAATACTGTCTAGCTTTGACGTCTGTCCCAAGGTTCCTTCTGGAAATGTTCGTGGAATCTGATAAGTATTACCAGGTGTTGGAGGAATGTCATAACTAATAGATACATGCCTCATTTGAGTCTCTACATTTGACGTCCCAGATGGGGTATTAAAAACATAGAGTTCTCCATCTGCTTCAGTACTTGATGGAGACACCTTTGGTAGAACATCATGGGAATAACTCCTGGGCAGGTTATAAAGGCTGGAGTCTACAGAAACAGATGCAGCACGTGACGGTGGAGAGTCGTACATCATCTGCTGCTGAAAAAAGCCATTCACTCCATGTTTGCTCTGGGAGGAAGCAGGATTTTTATGAGAAGGGACATTATCATTGCAGTCTGTTTCAGAAGAGGTGGATTTTGCAGAATCAGCATGCGTTCTAAAATCGTTAATGACAGAGTAAAACATGGTGAAGACATAGAATACGTTTTTGGTAGATATATTTATAGCTTAGCAATCAAAATACATGGCTTTTTTCATTAGATTTTTTGTGTATGATCCATAAGATTTAAAGCTCAAATATTCTTTAGTTTTTATGATTATATACCAGACAACAAAACCGCCACCACAAAACCACCAAAAGCATTCTCCCTAAGTCCTGTCCTGTACCTGCCCACATCCCCAACTCCAACTATTAAATTCACACATAAAATCACAATCCCTGAAGCACTAGAATTAGACATTACAAAACTCAGGGAAAGGTAAATGTTTAAGGCATAGACACAAGGAAAAGCATTTCCTCTGGGAAGCATGCAAAAACCTAGTGCCAATACAGTGTATAAAGTTGATCCATTGCTCTTTAACCTGCCTGTGGCAAATATGTTGTTCTGTAAAACTAAGTCTGATGATCACCTAGTCTTGAATAAATTCAATGTGACCTTACAAGCAGGTGACAACTTAATAGGTTTCATGTATCCTCCCTTTTCTAATGTTCTTTAACATACATTTAGCCAACACTATAAAAAGGATCAAAACATATGACACAGAGTTAACCAACTCCAAACAATAATTAACCTTGAGTAATCTCATTAGAGTATATTTTATGGTTTGGGTACATTTTCAGTTTCTGCATTTTAAGGTATCACAAAATTTGGGTATAAGCCAGATGAAGCTAACAATACAAGCACACTCTCATTTTAATATTTCTTTAAATAACCTGTGATAGAGTTTGTTATTTTATTTTATTATTTTCTTAAAGGGCCTCTATTCCCTGATTTCTTAGTAACATCTTGCACTGTGTGTTGCTTTTATTCATTGAAACTCCCCTCCTTTGGTATCAGAGAACCCATATTTTCTGATTAACCTCCCATCCTCACTTTGCTTCTCCCTTGATTATTTCCTGGTTTCATTGACTGCCTCCTTCTTCCTATCTCTCCACCTGGAAATGGCCAACAGAATTCAGTCCTCTAACCCTTTTCCACACACGCCATTAGAAAAATCTCCTTTTTCATAACTTCACCTTTTCTGAATTCTGACAACTCATCTTCTCATCAGACTCTGAGTCCCATATTTTCAAACTGATATTTCTTCTTGGTTATCCCAGTATTATGTTGCTCATGCGTCCCAAACCAAATTCAATTTACTTCTCAAGTTGATTACCCTTCCTAATTGCATTAAAAGAAATGACTTTACCCAGATTCTCTGGACTCAAAACCAATCAGCTGGATTCCCTCTCTTTAATCCCCACAGTTACTCAGGCACCAAGTCCTTCTCCCTGAATTTCTACTTCCCTGCTCTATTCTCACTGCCAGCACCCCACATTCAGGTCCATGTCTCTGCTGAGATCTGTATTACCGAACCCTCCTCCTAAACTTCTCCTTTCCTCTAGTTTCTCCCTCTTCCATTCTATCCATGGGACCATACTGCTATACTGCTATGAGATCAATATTTGCAAAACATGGTTTTTATATCATTCACCTTCTCAGAGGAAAACCTATTAAGTCCCTACAGGCTGTGAGAACTACAAGGCCACAAACTAATCCACTTGCATTGAGGCTACTAATAACCTGGCTCTAACTTGTATGTCCTACTATCCAATTTGAGTCTTTTCCTCCAAGCAGGCTGTCCTCATTACCTTTATCCAACCATGCTCATTCTCACATGTCCTTTTCCTCAAGCTACTTATGCACAAATTACTAATGACTTTCTCCTTTTCTCTCACCAACTAGGTGTCGTTCAAATCCTCCTTCTCCTTCAAAGCTCCTCACTGATTTCTCCATCTTAAAAACACTTGCACTGTCCCTTTGTAGAATTTCTAGTGCACCTATGTATATTCTAAAATTTGCACTTCATTTAATTCAAATGAGGGAGTTAAGAGAATATAGAGTGCTATATTTAAAGCTCCCTATCTGACTAGGTAACAGTTCAGCAGCGAATAACTACAAATATCAAGCTATTTCCAATACTGTGATGCAACAGAGATACATAGGTACAACCAGGATGTGATAAAAATGAAGAGACATTTAGTCTAACCTGGGAGTTTGGGGGAATGCTTCCTAGAGGAGTACATGTCTGAGCTGAATCTTGAAGGATGAACAAGAGTTTGCAAGGCAACTCTCATTTATCGTCTTCATCTATAAATAATGCTTGCCTGATTTCACTTCTTAACAAGCCTTCCTCGTGAATTCCAGAGGCAACTGTATCTGTGGGGACTGTATCTTATATAACAGTGGGCACACAGTGGGTACTTAACAAATATTTATTATTTAACTGTCACTTTTGCAAACAATAGGTGACAAAATATATCTGGGCATTGATTTTGAGCATAACTTCTACTGCAACAAAAAAGCTATGATACCGGTGAAATCAATGAAAGACACTATATGAAAAGAAAATGTACTGAAAGCTGCCCCTTAGCTGTTGGCTTTTAAAAAGCTGATATTGAAAAACAACTGTGAATCTCCATAAAATAAAATCTTAGTTAGTAGCATAGATAACAAAGTTGCGAGTGTGTAATTTAAAATACTCACAGCAAACAGGCAAAATCAAGTTAGAATTTGATATTATTAACTAGTGTTGATTTATAAATTTTTTTCTTTTGCTCTTACAGGTAAAATCCCACTACAACAAATATATAGAAACCCATCTTTGGAATGTTTGTGAGCTATTCCTGTCATTTCAGGGAATGGTTCACAGAAACTGTTTTGTAGACCTTAAATTCTACATAAAAATTTTTGAACAAGTAAGTGCTTTGTCTGATCCTAGCCCAGTAATAATCACTCTTTACATGAAAAAGAAAAAAAAAAAACACCTTTTTTTTTGTCACCAAGTGCTTTGTCTGATCCTAGCCCAGTAATAATCACTCTTTACATGAAAAAGAAAAAAAAACACCTTTTTTTTTGTCACAGAAGTAATAATGTTTAATATCTTATAACCCTGTTTAAAAAAATCTTTCACATCTACTATACAAGTCCAGTCTTATACTGTAAATAAAAATACCCAATAGACTGATATCACTATCACATAGCTCTTATTGGTAGAGACTAACCTCTTAATCATTTTCCTTCTCCTTTTTAAAATAGTAAAACAACTGCCCATTAACTCTCTCTGTCACCTTAAGCCTTCCAGCTACCCAACTGTCATGTTTTTTGGGGGGGTCACTGGCTGGTACAGGAATCAAACCCTGGACTTTGGTCTTATCAGCATCATGCTCTAACCAACTGAGCTAACCGGCCAGCCCCAACTACTCAATGTCAACAATGATCAAATTAAAATATCTTATAGCTTAGAAGAGGGGAGGGGTGTAGGAGAAGAGAGGGAGGTGACAGGGAAACCAAGGATTTGGGAAAGGCTGTGTGACTCTCCAGTCAAGAACTGTACTCCATATACTTTTTTGTACTTAAAAATGTGTAAAGTCAAGGCTTGGGGTAAGCTCTACTTCATTGCTAGGTATGAAGATTGAAAGTTTCATAGGTTTTAGCAATATATTAGATTTCATCAAATTTCACTAAAACCCAATTTGTATTCCATAGAATTTGCTGAATTGGGATTTTACCTGTAAGATTAATTTCTCACACAGATCCAAAACAACCACAACACACTCACTGCAATGGAATCGTTTTGCTTTCAAAATCTTCTAGTAGTAGGTATTCCTCTCCTTCTTCAGAAACAAAAGATGACCCTTGGCTGGTTTACAATCACATAAGAAATGGAGCAAGATCACCATTTATAAATCAGAGAAATCTGTTAAGCAAGTAATACTGTGAGTCTGTAACAAAGACTATAAAACAGTAGACAGACTTCCAAAAAAGCCTGGTAGGTGTAACTGTTCTTTGCCAAAGATGGTAGACACTGTTTCTTCAATAAAATCTCCTGAATATCAGAAATCATTAATAGAGGAATATAAACCTGAAGTATAAGTCTGAAACATAAGCCTATAGAGATGGTTTCTTTTAAGTCTGCAAGTCATGGTTAAAAAAGTTTAAAGGTAAGATTCTTAAATGTACACACACACACATACATGCAAATACAATTTACCTGGTGGGTTCAGGCTTCTTGCTTTGACAGTTGATTAGCAAGAGGTAGTCTTGAGGATCCTCTTGGATACCAAGAGATTCCAGGTGTGGTGGAGGGTTGAGTAGCTGATAGGGAGGAGGTAGAGCAGCAGAGGATAAATCCACCTGGGTGGATGGTGGGGCTGCATTTATAGCTAAAGGTAAATCAGCTGGGGCTTGTAAGGAGCTGCCAGGTGGCTTCACAGGATCTGCAACACCAAAGTTTAACTATCACTATCACATTACAAGAATCTTTTTAAAAAAGTTACTTTCAAGTTTAGAGATAAATTGTTTCAACACACAAAAACAGAATAAACCATGACAATATCAGTTAAAACAAATACTAACTAAATGACAACATTTATACAGGAAGTAAGTGGTTCTTGTCCAAGAGATCTAAATAGTAGGGCTTATTCTCTATTCCAGAGGCTCTAAAAAAGCCACGTTAACCTTGCCTTTAACAGTTTTTTGATTTGAGGTTACTGGGAATGAAGGTGTTCAACAATCTTAGCAGAAGTGACAGATTTTTTTTTTCCATGATGATAAACAACGTGCTTTCTAAGCCAAGCCAAACTTCCAAGAAGACACACTTATTACGTGGCATTTACAGGCCCATGGTGCTGCGAGTACCAAGGGCAGCTCTCCACCCTGGTCTTATTTCGCTGTCCCTTCTTTTCTTTCTACTTCTTATCAGATGAGGGAGAAATATTTCTAATGGTAGGACTGGTGAAAATAAGTTCTATTCGTGTTCAGGAAAGAACATCTTTAAGGTATTGCCTGTTCCCTTAGCTCAAAGCCTATTTGCCTTTTAGTGAATTTCTGTAGTATTTTCATGAAAAGGGGGTTAGCAAGTGATGAAGTAATATTAAGCCCTTAACTATGTTCTGAAAAGACATATGAAAATACCTAAATTGTGCAGAATGAAGTAATTTGAAAATAAGCTGAAAACCTAGAAATAAAATCCCACTGGAATCACTCACATAACCAAGTACAATTTTAAGGGCCCAGAAGAAAAACGCTCTCTGTTAGTCTGGTTAGGAATACAAGGGTACAAATAATACAGAAAAAGGCAAATGCTCAGGCACGAATAAACAAATGTGTCAGCTTTCTGTTTATATTAAAGTAGAAAACGCTGGGTTGAAATAGATTTTCACAACAAAACATTACATAAAAGATGCTAAAAAGTGGTAAGGAAATTAAATGTTCTACCAAATAGAGTTAAATGCAGGTCATTTCGCCTGTTTATTTACCAGAGAGGGGCTAAATGTCAGCTCTATCTTCTCTAGATACTTAGAATAAATCTACATGTCTTTGATAATGTCTTTATATATTTAACTGTAATATTCATATATGCAACACAACAAAGTTTACTTAGTTCATTTTACAATTCTTCCTCCTAGGCATAGAAGGTCATATCCTAATTGTGAAGCCTGAATAACACACTAACATGGCTAAACAGAACAGTATATCTCTAAGTATGGTTCTTAATAACAAACAAAAAAGGATCAGAACTCCTCTATGCTTCACTGTGCCTTACATGTAGTAGACGCCAAAAATTAAAAAAAAAAAAAATAAGTTGCATTTATGGGACAGAAACTGACTGAGCACTCACTTAACTCCTCTATGCTTCACTGTGCCTTACATGTAGTAGACGCCAAAAATTAAAAAAAAAAAAAATAAGTTGCATTTATGGGACAGAAACTGACTGAGCACTCACTTTACATCAAGTTGGAAGAGATTAAAACAAGATTCACCTCCAAATCTGTAAGAGCCATTTGCCTGCATGCACAGTTTGGGATTTGCTGAAGAACTCTGTGAGTCCTGCTAGATGCTAATTAAATTTGAAAACTTCTTTCAGTTAGAGAATTTGGCCTGAGTAAACAGAAGTTGAGATAAATTTTAACTTTTTATCTTATGCTTCATGCAATGTCAAGTCTTCATACAGGCTCATCTTACAAAATCTAACACCTTATGCCAGGAGTTAATCAATCTTTCTTTCTTCTCCTCCCCTCCCCTGCTCTTTCTTTCTTTCCTATTTATGGAAGGTGAGAAAAGAAAATGGTGACAACAAAAAAAATAAACTTCTGGATATTTACACAACAAAACACCCTACTTTCAGTGGGTGCTCATAAATACCTATTGTCATGTCTAATTGTTGATTATAAAGTGGTATATATAACATACCCTATGAAATGCTTTACTACTTTGATTCAGTTGCAACTATACAGAGATTTATTTAAGGGGATTTAAAATGCCACAGATTAAACAGTGACTCAGAGTAAATCCTTGTGGATTTAAGAGAACTATGAAAAATATTTATCTTTTAAAGAAGAGCTTAAGAAAAATATATACAACATTAAGGAGGAAAAAAAGAGCAAAGGGATGAGAAACTGTTAATGATCCTACAGGCTGTATTCACAAGTACATTTTATCTACTTCTTTCCTCTACAGGACAGGCATGGTAAAAGAGAATAATCCAGTTCAATTTTTAGTTCTGACCAAAACAAAACTAAACACTGGAAATACTTTGGTGTATAAAGCAGTATGAATTCTAGCTTTTCCCTATAACTCCTAAGAAGTTTTCCAGGTGGTTATTCTTGTTAGACACACTCTCCTTTAATATTTTTTCTAAACTTGATGGCTATACACTAAACGACTTGAGTAATTCATGTTAAGTTGGAAAAGAAAATCACCCAGCCAGGCAATCAGGTTTGTCTGACCTTGTTTTAACACAATGGGACCATCTCATTTTTACCCTTTCATTTCTTCTACCTGTGAATGACAAAAAGTGTTCTATCCTCTTTACAGCTACAAGAGTCTCTGAACTTTATGAGGATTCAGCTTCCTTTTTAAAAAATATCTTGTTCACAATATGTGAAGACTTATATGTTCTTTTTTTTTTTTTTTTCTTTTCCTTTTTTCGTGACCGGTAACGGTATCGCAACCCTCGGTGTTGCGCCCGCACCGCACTCAGCCAGTGAGCGGACCGGTCTCTATATGGGATCCGAACCCTCGGCGGGAGCGCTGCCGCACTCCCAAGCGCCGCACTCTACCGAGTGCGCCACCGGGCCGGCCCAAGACTTATATGTTCTTATGAGATGCAAGAACTAGAGGAAAAACTACCATTATGTTCACTAGCAAGCACATGAAAGAAAAGAGACCATTAAACAGCTATGAAGAGCAACTAGAACCATTCTAAACAATACAGGCAAACGAATGACTTTAAAAAGGCAAGAACGAACCACTCTACTACTTTGGTTCAGATAATGCACTATCTTCAAAGTTTTAGTGTTTGGGATCATTTTACTCACATTAATTTGACTATATACTAAGTTCTGCATATTTTAATAGAAGCATTGCACTGTGTCTAAATATTCCCTAACATAAGATTTCTAGCCAAAGTTAAGCACCTGGTCTAAAAGAAAAAAATTCTGTTCCACCTTATAAAGACGTGTAGCCCCTATTCTATGCTACAAGTAATTTAACAGACCATTCTGCTTTTGGCCTTGCTTAGGTTTCTAATATACTGCTCTAAGTAATGCTGGTATCAAGTTTCTAAGAAACAAACATTGGTTTAGGGTTTGCTTATATGTGTAAAATTATTTCCCATCTCTTAATTCAGAAGGCACGAAGAGTATAATTAATATCCATTAAAGGCTTAATAAGCTGCTGGAGTATCCTAATTGAAATTTACTTAGAAAGCTAATAAGTACTGCTAAGGAAAGCCTTTCAGTGAACAAGCCTTCAATAAAGAGAAGTAGATTATCATGTGATGAAATCCACAAATAATAAACTGGCCCACATGACCCCATCCGAACACACAGTTTTGTCATATTTGGAACCATAATGCCCTGGTGTTAGCGTCCCTCACAGAAACTGGGGTGCCTAGGTAATGCCTCTGCACATTCAAAATAATAATTTTTAAAAATAAATCAAACAGCACAAGATTTTATGCCCTAGGAAACAATTCTATTCTTATTACTAAGGCAGAATATTTCAATGTTGATGTGATAGGTTCTCTTATTTTGTGACCACTAATTTACTGTATCTGAGCATGCAGTAAAAAAAACCTGGTATTGGATGTTGGCGGGGCATGGCTGAGGCCCTCAGCCTCCCCCATCCCTGGCTTGGGAGCCCCAGGGGCTTCGGGTCCTTCTACATTTTATAGGTGTTCTTTGGTGGTGTTAGACCTTTACTAGTTAATATCAAACTCTGTCTCTAGTCTGTGGGTATTCTGTTTGAGGCTTGGAGCCATGGGAAGCCGAGCCCAGCTGCAAGTAGGCAAGCTGCTGCTACCATCCCAGGGCCCCTCTGGGGGCCTGAGGCATGGAGCCAGTAGAAGCCAAACCCAGCTGCAACCAGGTAAGGAGCACACTAATAACACCGTTTTTACATGGGTAGCCCCGCATAGCCACCGCAATTGCCATGGCTGCTGCAAAAGTGGCTAGTCTCCATAGCAGCAGTCACAGCCACTGTGCAGATGGCATGCCAGACTCTCAACATAATTGACACAAGAAGGGATACCAGCAGAGACCAATTAAAAAAAAGAAGAGGTCCTCTCTCTCCACAAAGCACACTCCACAGTAATAGAAGAAGCATTTGGTTTATGATAATAGGGGAGGAGTTGTTCACACCTGTCTCAGTACTGGACAGATCATCTAGGCAACAAACCAATTAATCTATCAGATGGAGAGAACAAATCTATGGTTATTAGAGGGGGGAGGGGAAACGGGAGAGATTAGATAAGGGGCATAAAGAGTAAGTATGATTTGTAACAATGAATATGCTAATAAAAAATAAAATAAAAATAAACAAATAGAACTGTGGTACTGCCCATGTTTTTAACAGGAGACCAGATGAGATTCTTTTCTCTGAAGATGGGCTATATCTGCTGATAGAATATTTTTTGGTCTTTTAGAATATTTTTTGGTCTCTATTGTAAAAGTTATAACTTTATGTTCACTATTAAAGGTAAAAACGCCAAGATTACTCTATTTCTACTGATTACTGATTTTCCCAGTGTGTTGCAGAATTTTTATCTCTGTAAAGAGAAGCATTTCAAATAGATCTTTGTCTAATTAACTTAGCAAAGAGTCTATGAAGAGTATGCATTATCATTAATACTAACATAACAATCTTCTCATTTCTGAATATACCACTGTTTATAGAAGAACATTTTATAAAGATAGATCTGACAAATGGATACAAA